ATGGATTAAGGAGTTTAATTAAGTTGATTCAACGACGAACGGCGCCACAAAATTTTACGCGTCCCTTCATTCTCCGAGCCTACGAAATTCGTTCCTTATCGACTATTCGCCACGTTCGGCGTTCCAACAATTCTACGATTCAGTTTCAGTTCCCAATGCTTCCAAGCAAAAATAAGCCAAGCCATTATAAACTATACTGCACAATTTCAGAACATTCTCTGTAGCGTTGCCACCAGTTTCGTACTTCCCATCGTGTCAAATTTATAATTACAAGATGACTTAAACGCGATCCAATGAAATTATCGTCAAACTCGAGAGAACAGGATTGAAGCAATCTCGGTATCGAGATTTCGTAAACTGTAGGATAGGTTCGAAGTTTTTCTTGTTCCTCGTGTGACGAAGGAATATCTTCGACGTTTGGTCGAAGCTAATCTATAGAAAACGATGCCGGAACTCCCGCCGGGTGTAACGATCACGGATTTTCTTAGGTTTTCCCGGTTTGCCGGCCGTTATCTTCTCTCCCTGAACGATTTCATCTTATATCCGCCGGGATTAGAGAACCTCTGTCTCTGACCGTTTCATTACTCATCCTACACTATATACACGCTCCGTGGGAAGCACGTATGTACATACGTACACGTTCGTTCTGTTTGTCGCTCTTGCCTCTCTTTCTTTCCCCGGGTCCCTTGTCTCTTCCTTTTTCTCTTTTCCCTCTTTTTTTTCATTTTCTGTATCCCATTCTCTGTTTCTTTTTCTTTCGAGCTTTTTTGCACGCTTCTCTATCTATTCTTGGCGGTGCCACCGACATCGCAATGGTTCGCAATATTGTAATGCGAAACACAATGCGTTTCACCCAAAGACATACAACGTGATAAAGAGGGGGAGGTAGGAGGTATCGAATTTAAAGAAAGATTAAAAGAAGGAGTACATAAAATAAGTTGTTATGTAGGATGGTGTGTTTATTCTCTAGATACAAGAGAACTATCCTTAAACCAAGTTAAGTGACCGATCTTTTGCTCACATTCTCCTCTCTCTCTCTCTCTCTCTCATGTCTTCAAAATTGCTATTTAACGAAAATCATTCTACAAAATATTTCACGAGGCATGCAACGCCCAACCATTTAAAAATGCAGACAATCAGTAGTTTCTAAAAGTAAGCTGAATAGTACAAAAAGATTAAACGTTGATACGCGACATAGCAAACTTCTTGCGAAAGAGTGAGCGTAAGAGAACGCGACAAGAAGAGGAGAAAGAATGGTCGGAAACTGTGGAGTAATATTCTCCTTTTCCGATAGTTTCCGACGTTCTCTAACGATGCCCAAGAATAATATCGTTATGACGATTGGCAACGATGACAATAATGATTAGAGCATCTGAAAGAACGTGCACCTGAATTAGAGAACGGTTTCTCGCTTTTCTATACCCGCAACCATTATCGTTTACTCGAACTGTCTTTATTTCCGTGACGTAAAACCATTCTGAGCACATTGCTCCAGTTGAAGCGTAACATGTAGAAGGGAGCAACGGTAGTGAAAACTACCAACAAAAGAGAAAAGTGGAATCGCGTTCTGTCAATTTCTTATTTTTACTCTCGCCAGAAGAGTCCATCCTCTAAATGGATCAAATACACGAAATGTTTTCTCGATGGAATACCCATACTTTTTAGCATTGTTTAATATTGTTGGATCTAATCATGTCCATGCCAAGGAAATATTCCTCTAGGTATCAAAAAGAAAATTAGCAGAAAAGAAAAAAGAAGAAAAGCTTTTCAAGAAGTCACAAGTAGATCTGTTTTCTTGATTACGAAGTAATTCTGGCAATGAATGTGCTTCGACTTAAGAAGTTACAATTCAAGCTTAAACTGGGAAGAATGTTCAAAGAAAGGTCAAGCATCTGTGCAGAACGCTTAAATGAACTTGTGTTGTTATATTAAGCATCGAAAAAGAAATTGCAAAAAATTGTAATTTTTCCAAAATAATTCATGTATTAGCAAAAACAAAATCACATTTAATAATATTTAAATCACAATACAAATATTATTCTAAATGAAACATATCTTTTTATTTAAGCAATTAGTTTTAGACTTTAGGTTTAATTACTTATTTAGGAACTCGTGTACTTAGATCTCCTCTCTATAGGAAGACGATTATATCAATCTAATATACTACTCTAGTTAGTTTATGTACTTTGGTTAATAAATAAATAAATAAAATTTATACTATCTCAGAAATCATGGATGAGCGCTTGAAAGAAATCTCGCATACTGAAGAATGCTCGAACTTGGGGAAAATAAATACTCTGTACGAAAAGGGCTGTCTAGAAGTAAAGGAACGGAGCTTTGAAAAAAGGAAGGAGAAAGAGAGAAAAATCAGTAGAGCGTGAAAGCGAATGGTAGCGGATGACGGATGGGTACCTCGCAATGGGCCCGGTAAAATTTGCCAAGCGGCCAGAGAAAATTGCGATGATTACACGGCTCGTACGATGAGGCGACGAGGCATTCGGTAAGAGAGAAAGGCAGGGAGAGGAGAAAGGACAGGGAAAAAATATTCCATAAAGCGTAATGGAGGGCTCGCAAATATTTATCTTTCGGTAGGTCGGGTGAAGCGCAAAGAGCCATGCGAAAGCGTTCCGAGCCGGATGGCCCTTGTCGCGGCACGGAAACGTGGAAAGTTCTCCTGACACGATTATGACGCTCGGTGACCAGAAATAATTTCATTAGTCGCCCCGTAAACTCATCCACCAGTTCGTAAAGAAATCATACGCGTGGGAAATATGTACTTAGGCACATATATACTACTACAATCAGGTTCCCGCAAACGCCTTAAGTCCCTTCCCATTCCTAGATTCCTGCCATGTTCTCCCGGGAACTCTAATCACGGTATTTAAGTACCCGGTACAACGGATGATGTCTGCCTGCGTACCGTATTCGTGACGTAACGAGCGTACTCATTACATAATAAGCAAACCAATGACTTATGCAGACAAACGAGGCTTCATCCAAATTGATAAGCATATGCCGATATATAATATTCCAATAATAACTCTCGCGTTACCAGCTTAAAAAACAAAAATGACAGAAATAATTCGAGTAAGCTAATTGCATAATAAGTTGATTCTGAGTTATCAAAAACAAGCGGAGGAAAAAATTACAGATGCAGAATCGTGTTTTTCATTTAACAATGAAAGATAATCTTACTCGACGCGGAAATATAGATCGAAAAACGCAACACCGCGAAAATACAAATGTGTGATCCACGTTCAGCTTAGTAACCTAACAAACAAGAAGAAAGAAGTAATGCAAAAAAGACGTAACGGAATTCCTGACAAGCAAGGTCATTGCGGTTTCCAAAGTTACTCGCGTCTATCCCAAATTTTGGTCGCATAAGCCTTGTCGCAAAAACTCTTCCTATCCCGCTGAGACTCGGCTGGAAGAGAAACAGGGAGAAACGGAAGAGAGTATGTAGAAATGGTGGAGAGAAAGAGGAAGGGGGAAACAGAATGGTAGGAAGAGAGGGATTATAGCAAGAGATCCGCAAGTGGGTACCGCAGAATCGTAGGCAGCAGAAGCAGAAACTGAGGACAAGAGACAAAGAGACGTTGGTAGACACCTCTTAAAGGGAACGAGAGGAGAGAACGCGAAATGGAACAGTGGAGCGAAGAGAGACGAGGGAAACCCAGGGCGGATCTCGCAAAACATACACAGCTGAAACTGACACATCCTCTGCCAGTCTACTAGCTTTTCTACAAGGTAGAGAAGGACGAGCAAATCTAGATGCGCTTACTTGTACTTACGTTAGTGACACACGCAGCATTTCGCTGTCGGGCTCAACTTTCTCTCTTCGCCGCCCTCCTAGCCCTCTTTCTCCGCTTTAAGCTTCTATTTCTCTCTTACCACCATTCTTCGCGGCATTATATTAAACCGTGGCTCGTGTTGCGGCTTGACAAGAGGGGTCACACGAGTTATCTTGCCCTCATCCTCATCCCATCGTGCTTCCTTTAACTAACTAAGCTTGTTCTCTATCTCTTTTTCTTTTTCCTTTCACTTCCACCACGTCTCTTATATTTATTTCAATTCCAGATGTGCTGAATTTTAGATTATACATTCAGAGCATAATTTAAGCTACGTACAACTGATGTGCCAAGTGTTTTAGACCGATCGATTATTAATATTCAGAATATCCCTCCATTGCTTGTCCTGCTATCATTTTTATGACGAATAAATTGATAGACAATTCACAGGATGTATGGATTAAGTAAATATTACAAAAAATATTGACTTATATTCACCTGTGATATTCACAATGCTCTAAAAAATGTAATGGAGAAAAATACGAAGTGTCAACATATTTTGCTAGCAGCATAAGGCATTTTTCATCGATCCCTATTGTTCATTGTCTCTCGTATTATTATATTTCCGATCGCGAATTAAATTATGAAAGAATCTAAATCCAGAACGAAAACCCGTAGGTCAATGCTCTACATGTCTACATTTATTGACTAGTAATGCTATTCATTGAGAAAATAATACATTTCCGTTAATTTAGTTCAAATAACAAACTCTTATGAAAGAAGAATAAATTTACAGCGACTCCTATTAATATTCGGATACACTTAAAAATAGATCTTTTTAATATATCGCATCATACAACTTCATTTTGATGTTAGGAGGTTTACTACATAATATTGTACATTACTACATAATATTGTATGTAACTAAACATTGAAAAACGTTTCTATTCCTTAGAATTTCAAAGAAAAAAAGAGATTATCTATCCAGATATCTATCGGAATTACTGTATGTGCATATTAAAATGTTTGCAACAATAGTTGTTGTATACTGTTTTTATTGCTACAATATTTTATAAATCGGTTTTCAGTCTCGCGCATTAAAAAGATAAGAAAATAGATTTGACGCAATTTTTCGAGAGTCCTAAATGAAGCCCTTATGATTTAATCGACTGTACAGTAATCTAAGTCACCAGCCAGGCCAAGCTTGTATTATTTCCGAGAAGAGTAGCGACCAACCGAGTGTACAAGAGGTTCATTTATTTATCGTAGTCGCGAGCAGACTGATCGCGGAACATGTGAATTTTTCACGTCCAGATTCTGCTTTATCCTCCTTTCTTCTCTCGCCTGTCGTATCCTCTTGGAAATTTCTACAAGAGGTGTAACGCCAGTAACCCCGATTCCCGTTTAAAAAATTGAAATACTATCTGTAGAGGGTGTACCGTCTCTCGAAACGCGATTGGTGAACAGTTGGTGCACAAGATGCTGTCTCTACTACTGCCACTTTTACTCTTACATCAATTCTCGCCCGCTACGGGATTCAACATCCTTGGTATTTGTCCCAGCGCAAGCTACAGCCACCAGCAACCCTTTCAAGCATTGATGAAAGCCTTGGCGGCTCGTGGACACAACGTCACTGTAATATCAACTATACCATCAAAAGTGAGTTCTCTTTTTCTTTCTCATTGACCGTAGAAATTGGTGATCTGTTCTGACCATCATGACTTAAAAACATTGTAAACAAAAAGCATGAAAATTATCATTTTCAGGAATGTAAAGAAAGAGTTATAAAACATATTTAAGAATTCAGTATTCTACATATTTGGATTGTGTGTACACTTTTCATGCCCTCTTCTCACGTTCAACCGGAACAGTTCGGTTTTACTTTTCTTTTTCTTACATCACTCTACTTCCACTTTAGTCTGGCTTCGATCCCTTCCGTGTTCCTCTTCTTTACCCTCCCCATAAACTCCGGTTCAAAGTTACGCAAACTTCGTTTGACTTCAATTTACTCTTACTAACATTTCTTTTTGTCAAATGTGTCTCCTTGTAAACCTACCCCGACCTTTTTCCTTAAGAAATCAACAATTTGCTGCCATGTCGATGTATTATTATTCAAAAATAAATTAAAGATATAATCGATAAATTAAAGACACTTAGAATCTGAATCAAGAATGAATCAAACTGATTAATGTATCTTCTAGAAACCGATCGAGAACTACGAGGACATCGATTTGTCGTTTTCGTATCGAAAAACAGATTGCACGGGTTTGAGGTATGCTTATTTTTAAAGTAAAAGGAACATTTCGTAACTATTTGATTCCGTAAATTAATAATGTTTTATAGGCATTTAGGACCGTTCACCATTCTAAGAATGAACATGGAAGAGGCGAACAGAATGTGTCAGGAGCAACTATTCAGTCCGGCTATTACCCAACTAATTTCGTAATATAAATACATACTTATTTCAATTAAGTTTTCGCGTTTTGCATAAAAAGAGATAAACGACCATAGAAATTGCAGTAATTTCAAGGCGTTATACAGCTATCCCCGTTAAGATTAACATCAAAATAACGCTACTTTATACACATTTCTCCTTATAGAAACAACAGAAGTTTCGACGCCATAATTATAGAACAATTGTGGTATCAATGTTATTACGCCCTCGTGAAACATTATAATTCGCCAGTTCTAATCGGATTCTTAAGTGTTGGGAATCTGCCTTATGTTATGGATTCCGTTGGTAAGCATAATCCATTGATAAAATTTTATAAGGCTCGTATAACGATAAACGCTAAATCAAAGTGCAAATATCTGAATGTATACGATTTGCTATACTATTCTCTTCCTTTCTGTCTTCAAGTTTCTATATTATACAAGAAATAATATGACCAGCTTCCATATCGGATAAGAAATAAAGAATAAATGAATATCTTCTTTGCAATTCAATTAGTGTAATATTTTTTAGGAAATCCGGATGATCCAATTTTGAACCCCGACATGGCCTACCCGTTCACGAATAAAATGAGTCTGAACGAACGTATCTGGAATATCATTTATACAACGTGGACTAGGATATACTATAGATACTGGCATTTACCGAGGGCACAAGAGATCGTTAACAAGTGGATGCCGAACGTCTCGATCCAAGACATCGACAGGAACTTTAGTCTAGTAATATTGGGGAACAATCACGTGTTCGGATATCCGAAACCGCTCTTGCCAAACGTAATCGAGGTTCACAGTCTCCAAATCATGGAGAAAACCGAACTATTGCCCAAGGTACAAATCGGATCCTTAAACTTCCTCATTAAGCGACGACAGCAGAATAGAATTCGTGCTATACAGACGATGATAGATCTTGAGCCAACGTACGCTACCCTTCAACCAATTCAAAACAACGTTTGTGACAATTTTTAGTCGAACTTGCATGCGCATGGTATCCGAAACGCATTTAAATTCGGTCATCGATTGCAGCTGTTACCCTCTGCGAGGCGCTCCGTTATTCCGTGCCATTTCATTTCCTTACGAAATAAAATTCTATACCACGGAAATCAGGAAAAATAACTTTTTTTAATTTACAATAAAAAAACGTATATTAATATAACATTATTCACATTTACATTCCCATCTGTGGATTATTAATTTTAGGATATCGAAGAATTCCTGAACGGAGCGAAACACGGAGCGATCTACTTTTCTCTAGGATCGAATTTGCAAACTCATCAATTGCAAGCAGGACTTTTGACCGTATTGTGCAACGCGCTTAGTTCGCTCAAGCAAAGAGTTGTATGGAAACACGCTGGAGACATACCCGTTCGTGTGGCTAACATCAAATTTGTGAAATGGGCACCTCAACAGGCGATTCTTGGTAAGTTTATCAAAAATCCAAACTATTTTTGCGCACTTCGAACGAAACTCAGTGTTGACCAAAAATATATTATTATATTTTATATTTTGCGCCATGTACGCGCATACACCGGAATTATTATTAAAAACGTAGCAACGCATGAAGAAAAAATCACGAATTTATGAAGAGCACCTTTTAAGTTATTCTCTTCTTTTTCCTCAACTGCGTAAAAAATATCCCCTTTACGTAATTGTTTTCGCGCCCGTAATTGTATGTCTGTTCGTTTATTATTACATTTCTGTTTGATTTACATGTACAACGACGCAAAACTCGACGCGACACGACGATTTCTCTCCTTTCTCGTTAAAGTAGATTCAACTGAGAGTAGAGACTTGCACAGATACTTAACGAAATTGCTGCCGACTTTGCAGGTCCTTTCATTTCGGAAGGATGTTAATTCCCTCGGGTGCTCAAGTGCCCCATAACAACCATGTCCACGCTCATTTATAAACAATCGAGTGTAGAGGAAAACGTGCGTTTATTATTTTGTTCCACATGTAGAAAAATTCGGAACATTCGTAATTCTCATCATGATCATAATCATTCCTCAAATTTATTTAAGAAAAATAACAAATAGATTCATTATCCAATGTCCCTACGTTATAATATTCAAATGGTCGAAAAGTTTAATCCAACAAAGTGAAAGAACTAATTATTAATTTGAAAAAACGGTGATCTAGAAACTAAACTAAACGCTCCGGGGGAACAACGAAAAATGGTCACTGTACGTAATTTGTAACACGGGCACCAAGCGCGCGTGCCGCCAAATTCTCGCGGGAAATTCTGGCAAACAACTCCACATGTTTACAGTCACAATAACACTCGAGCTCGGTGCAAATGCAATGCAACAGAGCACAAAATTTTGTACGCATTGATAGACAAGTTAAGTTCATCATTTCCTTTACGTTTATATGTATTTCAGTTGCTCCGCATAGAATACATAGAGGTAATTGTTACTCTACTATATTAGTCAAGATAAGGCTTAAAACTAAGCAATTACAAGCACAAGACTTCTTCTGTATTAAAAATACTTCACTAATAAACTATGATATTTGCGAGTTCTGACTGACGATATCTTTATAACAAGATAGTCAATCGACGTACGTTGAACTTGTCTTTTTCTCTACTTTCATAATAAAATTGTGGCATTCCATTTGGAAATCACGAGGCGACCTTCAGAAAATTGAGACCTTGAGAAAATAAAGATAATAGTTCTCTTTGTCGCAGTGACAGTCTATATAGAAAATAATGATAAAAGTCTCTGTAGATCTTTGTCCTAGCACGTACCGTTCATCAGTTATATCGAACGACACTTACAATGGGACACTCTGTATTGGTATATACATACAACGTATGTATGTATATGGTATATACGATGTCACGCATGGTGAATTGATCTACTCTGAAATTGGAGACGTTTCAGCAATTTTGATATCGCTTATATTTTTTTGAATGAAAATCTATACAGGGTGTCCCACAACTGGTGGTGCATTTTTTAATGGGAGGTTTCTGAGATCATTTTAAACAATATTTTCCTTTGTCAAAATGTTGTCCGAGGCGTGGTTTCAGCGAACGTAACTAACAACTTTTATAAGAAAAATGCTTTACTCGAACTTCTATCGCGCGATACTATATGTATAAATATATACGTATTATATACTACACTAACGATAAAATTATTTTTATGTGTAGCACATCCGAAAGTGATGGCGTACGTGATGCAGGGCGGATTGCAGTCATTGCAGGAAGCCGTGCACTATTCGGTGCCGGTAGTCGCCATTCCGTTTTTCGGGGATCAACTTTTTAACGCACGTAAAATTCTCGATACTGGTATCGGACTTACATTGAACATCGATACTATCACCGAGGAATCTGTCGTGCAAACTCTGTCTGAGATCATAGAAAATAAAATGTAAGTAAATATAAATCTATTCTACAGCTTCTTTCAACAAACGTCGCAATCATTGATCGCACGTTCAGCAAACAGTTCTTTTTGTATGACATTATATCATGCAGTTCTACGTACGTTTTCCAAGAAATACAAAATACAGGATGCATGAATAAAAACTTTATATAGGAATTTCAAACTTAATTTATAAATTCAAATATATGATTTATTATTACATTTCTGTTTGATTTACATGTACAACGACGCAAAACTCGACGCGACACGACGATTTCTCTCCTTTCTCGTTAAAGTAGATTCAACTGAGAGTAGAGACTTGCACAGATACTTAACGAAATTGCTGCCGACTTTGCAGGTCCTTTCATTTCGGAAGGATGTTAATTCCCTCGGGTGCTCAAGTGCCCCATAACAACCATGTCCACGCTCATTTATAAACAATCGAGTGTAGAGGAAAACGTGCGTTTATTATTTTGTTCCACATGTAGAAAAATTCGGAACATTCGTAATTCTCATCATGATCATAATCATTCCTCAAATTTATTTAAGAAAAATAACAAATAGATTCATTATCCAATGTCCCTACGTTATAATATTCAAATGGTCGAAAAGTTTAATCCAACAAAGTGAAAGAACTAATTATTAATTTGAAAAAACGGTGATCTAGAAACTAAACTAAACGCTCCGGGGGAACAACGAAAAATGGTCACTGTACGTAATTTGTAACACGGGCACCAAGCGCGCGTGCCGCCAAATTCTCGCGGGAAATTCTGGCAAACAACTCCACATGTTTACAGTCACAATAACACTCGAGCTCGGTGCAAATGCAATGCAACAGAGCACAAAATTTTGTACGCATTGATAGACAAGTTAAGTTCATCATTTCCTTTACGTTTATATGTATTTCAGTTGCTCCGCATAGAATACATAGAGGTAATTGTTACTCTACTATATTAGTCAAGATAAGGCTTAAAACTAAGCAATTACAAGCACAAGACTTCTTCTGTATTAAAAATACTTCACTAATAAACTATGATATTTGCGAGTTCTGACTGACGATATCTTTATAACAAGATAGTCAATCGACGTACGTTGAACTTGTCTTTTTCTCTACTTTCATAATAAAATTGTGGCATTCCATTTGGAAATCACGAGGCGACCTTCAGAAAATTGAGACCTTGAGAAAATAAAGATAATAGTTCTCTTTGTCGCAGTGACAGTCTATATAGAAAATAATGATAAAAGTCTCTGTAGATCTTTGTCCTAGCACGTACCGTTCATCAGTTATATCGAACGACACTTACAATGGGACACTCTGTATTGGTATATACATACAACGTATGTATGTATATGGTATATACGATGTCACGCATGGTGAATTGATCTACTCTGAAATTGGAGACGTTTCAGCAATTTTGATATCGCTTATATTTTTTTGAATGAAAATCTATACAGGGTGTCCCACAACTGGTGGTGCATTTTTTAATGGGAGGTTTCTGAGATAATTTTAAACAATATTTTCCTTTGTCAAAATGTTGTCCGAGGCGTGGTTTCAGCGAACGTAACTAACAACTTTTATAAGAAAAATGCTTTACTCGAACTTCTATCGCGCGATACTATATGTATAAATATATACGTATTATATACTACACTAACGATAAAATTATTTTTATGTGTAGCACATCCGAAAGTGATGGCGTACGTGATGCAGGGCGGATTGCAGTCATTGCAGGAAGCCGTGCACTATTCGGTGCCGGTAGTCGCCATTCCGTTTTTCGGGGATCAACTTTTTAACGCACGTAAAATTCTCGATACTGGTATCGGACTTACATTGAACATCGATACTATCACCGAGGAATCTGTCGTGCAAACTCTGTCTGAGATCATAGAAAATAAAATGTAAGTAAATATAAATCTATTCTACAGCTTCTTTCAACAAACGTCGCAATCATTGATCGCACGTTCAGCAAACAGTTCTTTTTGTATGACATTATATCATGCAGTTCTACGTACGTTTTCCAAGAAATACAAAATACAGGATGCATGAATAAAAACTTTATATAGGAATTTCAAACTTAATTTATAAATTCAAATATATGATAGTTTCATATTACTAAAACATAAAATTTATAAAACTGAAAATGCTGCAGAGAAAAACATCCTTCGACTGGACATAACTCTTTCTAAATTATTAGTTCACTAATTAATCATTCTATTTGGGTATAGTACACTTGGGCTTTACTTATTTGATTTCTTACGCTATCGATAACATAGCTCTAAAAATCTATTATATTGTATACCATCTTTAATTGTGCATTCATCTTACGTTATGTCTGCAGAAAAGTTGTATTCCCTCGAGGATTCAAAAATTCTCTTATTATTTCTTATCTCACGACCCGCGTTACCGATAGTTTGAAACTTAGTAAGAATAATGAAAGAACTTCATACTAAATCTATAATTTAAAATCGGGTTTGCTATTACATTTATTATTTACCGCCGTCCTTAATATCACCTCATTTCTCACTTTTACTATTTTGTTCATAAAGTACTAGAGATATACGTGAACCTGACAATATTGGATTGCGTCGGGATAAGAATTTTTCTCAGAATCGAGACAGACTTTCAATTTCGGGATTCCTGTAAATGTCAAATTTCTCAAAAATGTTCGCAGATATGTAATATACATAATACATGGATATTCCAACAAAAAATGTTTAAAAATAATTAATAAAAAGAAACAGAAAAAAATAAACTATTTTATTATTGCATTACATTCAAATTATGTTACATATTATATTTTCTAATATGTTTTCAGATATTACACAAATATCAAAACTATGTCTGATATTATTAAGGATGAAATGGTAAAACCAATGGACCGTGCTGTTTGGAATGTAGAACATGTAATCAAGTTTTCGGGATCGAAACATTTACGTTACTACGGACATGACATCTTGTTAGTTGATTACTACGGGACAATAGCAATATTTATCGCGCCCTTAATTTTACTTTCATGCTGTGGCTACTTTCTTTACAATTATTTAAAGTCCGTTGTAGGACAATCTCTATTTAGACTTAAATTTTTCATGAAGTCGAAGTCAGAATAATTTTAATTTCTAGTTACTAGCAATATCTAATCGTACTTATAACAGAACATGTATCACATTGAAAATTAAAAATATATATACATATATCTTGAAAGCATTCTGTAAATTCATTTGCATCTTTATCTTTCAAAATTATTATTTTATCCAATAAGTGCTAGCCGTACACAATCATTCACTCGTGCCGCTTCGGATCTGCGGGATAATAATCAGAAAGATTATAAAACATGCCACTCACCGTCAGAAGAACTGAACTCAATATTTATCATTCAGTTCGCCGATGACGGCATCTCATAGATGAAGTGAAGAAAATTACATGCAATTTATTACGGAACAGAGAGGTATATAAAGTGAATTGTAAGTCTAATAAAAATAAATATATTTGCAATTAAATTTACAATACTATTTTCATGTTTTCTTATTTTATATTACTGTCAGTCTAATAATGAGACTTTTAATAAAGTAATGTTAGATTACGCAAATACAAGGAATAAAATAACTGTAGACATTCCAAGTTCCACTGGGTTGATTTTATTTCTGTTCTGTAATACGAGCTTTAAAACGGAAAGAAGTATTTTGAGCTGATCTTATTCTTCATGAATAAGAAAAACTCGATGAAAGCGGAAAGTAATGGGGTGGGGATAGTTAAGATTAAAGTCAAAGATGACAAAGGAATGATATGATAATTCAATACTTTTCTATGTTGAATAACAAGTGCGATTCTTAAGTTCCATAAAAAGACAAATTTAAAATGAATTTAAAAGAATATACGTAAATGACATATGATAAATATATATGACATTGAAAAAATCGGAAGAATTCGGAATGTATTATAGTAAAGCTAAGTTTCGACCAATTAAAGTATAAAGACGATTTGTAGCGCGCGCGGACAAAACCGTTCAAATCATCTATACATGCGCAGAGAATCTTATTGCAGTTAGAATTTTTCATTGCCACACGTAAGTTTATTGTTACTGCTCGCTTAGTAAAATTACTTCATACAAATTAGATTTATGTCATTGATACGTGACTGTCTACTTGAACGATCATAATGCCGGGAACACCGATGAAAGAAGAAAATGATACATTACAAAAACTGCAAACAACGGATCATCATCCGGTTGCGAACTGCGAGCCTGTTGTACGGGAAATAACACAAACCGATAGATTAAATAAAAAGTTATTAGTATCGCTTTTAGAGAGGATGAACAAATCGAGTGGTGAATTCGATAAATACATGGAAAAAGGAAACACAAGTTGTGATTCTCAAGACGATAACGAATTTTAAGTAGGTACAAAACATAACCTACATATACACGAGGTTAGCATACAATAGTATTATTTACTAACAAACGAATATTGTAACACTTAAACTTCTACTTATAGTACCTTCTATTAATATTTGGATACACTTCAAAATAGAATAACTCTTTTGTATCAAACAATTTCGTTTTCTTTGTAATGTAACAAAAAATTAAAAAATTGCTATAATAGTATACTAAACCTTCTAATGCCCCACAGAAAATTAAGTTGTTTGACCCAACATTTACAGAAGTTATTCCATTTTCAAATATGACTGAATATTAATGGGAGTCACTGTAAGTAATTATATTTAGGAACTTTCTAAGAAAACTTATTTTTATAGGAAAAATTATTCATTTTGTATATCAAGAAATAAGGATATAGTCTGTTGAACATGCCTAGGTCAAATACTTCTGATTATGACGAGGATGAGCAAGATATAGTAGCTCAATATGAAAATCAAGAATCACACGAAGATCAGAGTAGTTTTCAAAGAAACGATGATTTTGGTTCAGAGAAGGAAGATGAGGAAAATAAGGATGAAGATACTTCTAGGAGAATTGACCCGCCAACAACCAAAAAACATGTAGTGAGAAATCCTTTGCCAAAATTAAATACAGAACGTTTGAAGGGTCCTAAAGGAATTCATACTATTGAAAAATATTTTGAAGGATTTAAGTTTTATGGAAAAGGTCATGAGAAAACAGACTTGGATAGAATTATGAAAAGATTGGAGCACTGGGGACATAGACTATTTCCCAAATTCGATTTTGATGATTTTCTTGAAAAAGTAGAAAAATTAGGCACCAAAAGAGACCTTCAAGTATTTATACACAAATACAGACTTGATATGATCAATGAGAATGAGGATATTATTCTTGAGGATAATATGGATGCAGAAGAAGAACAAGAACAGGTCGAACCTATTGACGAATTCGACTTATTAATTGCAGAACAAATAGAAAAACAAAAGAGAGTTACGCATCAGTCAGTGTCAGATTTATCTACAAATAGTACTGACGCATTTAACAAATTATTATCAACGTCCAATGCCTCTGAAGTGTCTACAGCTTCTCAACTAACTCCTACTATACTTTCTCAATCAGAACCTACTACATCTCAACTAACTGATGAAGTAAAGGAACGTATAGAAAGAAATAGGCAGCAAGCTATTCAGAGAAAAATTGAAAAACTGAATAAGAAATTAGAAGAAGTTAAGAAAAAGAAACTCGAAGAAAAAGCAAATGCAGAAAGTGGTGAAACAACAAATTTGGAAAGTCAGGTGCTCACAACTAATTTGCAAGAAACATATGAATGTTAACCTTAATATAAGAATACAACTTTAACAACTATTCCATAATTTCATATTATAAAAGTATTATNAAGTGGTCGTGTTCATTTTTAACTCTTTATAAATGTTCGTGATTGATAAATTTCGAGATGATTTTGCTACATCATGAAGACTCCACTTTTGTTTCTTGTTCTCGCTTTAAGCAATCCTTTTTGTTCAATTGTTTTCTTCCTTTTAATAAATAATTTTTAAAACATTCCAATACAAGAATTTTGTTATTTTTTGCTGTTTATGTGTACTATATATATATTAATATGCGTTCCTTTGTTCCCGTTTTCGCTGTCAAAAATACGGTCACCGTAATTATACATTGTATTTTGCTTTGAACATACTATTTGCTGACATGATACTGGATACTGCTTTTCAAATTATTTGAAACTATAAGTACATAAACATCCTCATTCCAAACATTCTTCACACGAGAAAAGGATAAGTTATATAAAGCATTATATTTATTTAGGTCCTACGTTTTTGTGTACTAATATATAATACATTATTACCACGAATAAAGGCATCACCATATTTATCCTTTAATTGACCATTTACATATTCTTCTGTTTGTTCAAGTGCTATATTCATATAACCATCTAGACAAGCCAAAACACCTGTGAAGTTAAGACAATATATATATCTCATTTACTGATCAACTGTAGTTGATACTATACATTATACATAATGTAAATAAACAAATATTACCTCTATAATCCACGCCACTATTTAATTTTACAACAACTGGACGTCCATGTATTTGTTGAATAAATTGGGATAAAGCTTCTTTCCGGCTCATCTGTAAATTAAATGAAAAATGTATTCCTTTAATGTATTTGTTCAACGTACGGTTTTCAGAGAGGTTAATACACCAAGTTAGACTATCTTTAATCGTACGTATACTTTTATTTTAATACTAGATATACTCGGCACTCATGTTTGAAGTATTGTATTATTGAAGTCATACCTTTGAATTTGTTTGTGTAACTAATAAATGGCCATAAACTTATTGCTGGTAAGTGCTTGTAGCTTCTTAATGCATACATGCATGCGTACGTATATGTATGGAGAATTCACATTACATGAAATCCCGACTTCTGCGGTGTTGCCATTTTAATCTCAGTATGGATAGGTACATAGATAGGTATTAAAGTAGGCTACGACAGTGTATGTTTTAAAAAATAATTTAGAATTCTTATGCATTCTTATATGCTCTTTCGTAGTGGCCACAGTATGAATCTTATACTGTGGCATGGGAAATAGGAAAGTCGTCCGTTTTGGAACACTCTGTATGTACAGAGTTTATATAAACTCTGTATCTGTATGGCCGGCAATGGCCGGCCCATACAAAAGTGAAGTCGATTATACACACACTGGCTATTCTGCGTGTGTGCACTTATTATATCAGAGTTCAGCTGACGGCCCGTTTTCTCTAGATTTAAGTAGCTAATACATAGATGGGCAGCAGTCGCTTCGCGCTACGCTAGCCGCTTGCATTGGCGTCGCAAAATTATACATGACGACGTAATAAAGACGCGCGCGAATCCAACACACATGACTCAATATTACGACTGATTTATTACGCTTCTAAAAAATTGCATTTTATACAGAACACGCAATTTAATGCATGTGTTAATGAAAATAAATTTTATTTTCTTTTTCTAAATATATTATGTTGAACAGTTTTTGATTCATTGTAAATTCTTTTCTAATTTGAAGACTTTGTAAACGGCAGTAAATAAATAGCCGAATAAGATCAGAAAATTAACCATTAAATAGCCATGCGATTACATTTTACACA